TGATCTTCCTTTGGAAACGATACTGCATCAAACGGCTGCATTACTATCAAATCTGCACATTTTTATACATGCGTTACCAAAGAATCGTTCAGCACAAACTGAGCACATTTGAGGCTGAGAGACACAGGAAAAGAAAAAGCCACTGGTTGTAGCTGTCAGGAAAGATCGGAACTGATAGTCTGAATGTTTTTAAACTACATTCACTTCCGCTTCTTCGTGCATTCTGCCCATTTGACTCCACCGCAGAGCACTGAGCCTGGAGATCATGCAACGTTCATTGTTTGTGGCGTGAAGGTCAGTTAATCGTTTCCTTAATAAGCTGTGTTTAATGCAACTCGTTTCAGATCACTTTATCAGTGCAATGTCTTTTTATTTTTTCAGCTCTACCTGCAGCCTGTATTTCCTCTGCATGTGGCATCAATCACTTTCACTTTTTTAATGTGCAAAAAAATTGCTTTTTAAAGAATGTTGTGTAATTCAAAGATAAGATCTGATTAATCAAATGAGCTTTGTAAGACACTCATGGTTCCTGTAACCAGTTGCCTTGCAGTTATGAACAAAATATTTGCAGAAGTAGCCAACAGAGGAAGTGCAGTCACTTCTGTGTTTAAATTGAATCTTTTTCCCGTCTTAGCGTGATGCGGCTGTCAGTCAAACGGACAGTTGTACTCCTGCTAACGCTCTTCGTAACTTGTAAGCTTACTACTCTATATCAAGTGCTAACATGCCCTGGAAAGGTTCCCAGACCTCATGTGGTGTCTATACTGGTTCGAAACTTGAACCAGACACAGTACCGGTATAACCAGAACACGCCGATGGTGTTTGTGGGTGGCGTTCCACGATCAGGGACCACCTTGATGCGCGCCATGCTAGACGCCCACCCTGACATCCGCTGCGGGGAGGAGACGCGGGTGATCCCCAGGATACTGTCTCTGCGGCAGGGCTGGGGGAGGCAGACGGAGGAGCGCCGGGCTCTGGAGGACGAGGGAGTCAGTCAAGAGATGCTGGACGCCGCGATTACAGCGTTCCTGCTGGAGGTCATCGCACGGCACGGGGACCCTGCACCACTGCTGTGCAATAAAGACCCCTTTACACTGAAGAGTGCCGTTTATCTGTCACACATTTTCCCCAAGTAAGATATCTCCTTTTTAGAGGTGCACTCCAGGATTTTATTTTATTTTATTTAAAAAGCTTTGCACAGACATTTGTAGTACTTCTGAAAATGTTATTTACACTTATTTTATATGGAGTGTGTGTTCCGTCATTGATGCCAAAATGCTTTAAGAAACTGTAAAAATCTTTTTGCTGATACAATCTAAATTTGATTATTTTATTTTATTTTATTTTATTTTAAAAGCTTTGCACAAAGACATTTGTAGTACTATGAAAAATATATTTACATTTGCCATCACAAGTAAGATATCTCCTTTTTAGAGGTGCACTCCAGGATTTTATTTTATTAAAAAAGCTTTGCACAGACATTTGTAGTAACGTACATTTTCCCCAAGTAAGATATCTCCTTTTTAGAGGTGCACTCCAGGATTTTATTTTATTTTATTTAAAAAGCTTTGCACAGACATTTGTAGTACTTCTGAAAATTTTATTTACACTTATTTTATATGTGCACAGACATTTGTAGTAACGTTACTTCTGAAAATGTTATTTACACTTATTTTATATGGAGTGTGTGTTCCGTCATTGATGCCAAAATGCTTTAAGAAACTGTAAAAATCTTTTTGCTGATACAATCTAAATTTGATTATTTTATTTTATTTTAAAAGGCACGCACAAAGACATTTGTAGTACTATGAAAAATATATTTACATTTGCCATCACTGGGACCAACATGCTTTCGTTAAAAAAATGTAAAAATTTTGTTGTTTATACAATCTAAAATGTATCATTTTTATTTATAATTTTATTTATTTTAGTTTTTTCCTTATAATTGTTTCAATTGTTATTATTTTAATTATATTTAATTATATTTTTTAAATGTACATTAGCACAGAGTAAATAATGATAAATATATGTGACCCTGTAAGGCGATTTTCTCAATATTTAGATTTTTTTGCACCCTCAGATTCCAGATTTTCAAAGTTGTATCTCATCCAAATATTGTCCTATCCTAACAAACCATACATCAATGGAAAGCTTATTTATTCAGCTTTCAGTCGATGTATAAAAAATGAAAATTCAGCTAACACAGGAATAAACTAGATGTTAAAATATATTACAATACAAAACAGGTATCTTCAATTGTAATCATATTTCACAGCACTGTTTTTAATGTTTTTTTTCTCCGATCGTTTCCATAAAGGTTTTCACATAGATTTACTAGTGCATTTTTCTTCAACTGGGAAAACGTCTAAAACAAAGGCATTGTTTTGTGCTGCCAAATCCAAATCCTTTTGATTTCTAGTTTCTTCCATGTCATTTGAGTCATTCTGTCTCACTCCTCATGCCATCATCGTCTGTCCTTCCAGCTCTAAATTCCTGCTAATGCTCAGAGACGGCCGGGCGTCTGTGCACTCTATGATCTCCAGACGAGTGACTATCGCTGGCTTCAACCTGTCCAGCTACAGGGACTGTCTGACTAAATGGAGCAATGCAATCGAAGTCATGCTCTCCCAGTGTATGGCGGTCGGCCGGAGTCGCTGTATGACCGTCCGCTATGAGGATCTGGTGCTGCAGCCGCGAGCCACCATGCAGCGTGTGCTACGCTTTCTGAACTCACCTTGGCATGAAGGAGTGCTTCATCATGAGGAGGCCATCGGGCAGCCGGGAGGAGTATCGCTGTCTCGGTAGGGCGAAATCATATTTAAAGGGAGTTCAATTCTGTCATTGTTTACACACCCTCTGTATGGGTTTCTTTCTTCTGTTGAACATAAACGATTATATTTTGAAGAATCTTGGTAGCCAAACAATTGACGGTACCCATTGACTTCCATAGTATTCATATAAGTCAATGGGTACCATGAACTGTTTGGTTACCAACATTCTTCAGAATATCTTCTTTTGTTTTCAACAGCTGAAAGAAATTCATACAGTTTTGAGACAACTTGAGGGAGATTAAATGATGACAGCATTTTCATTTTTGGGTGAACTGTCCCTTTAATGTTTTGGGTTGCAGGCCTTCCATCGTTTTCTGACGATCCTCACTTTTCACTTTGTTTTTAAGAACCGAACGCTCCACGGATCAAGTGATCAAACCAGTTAACCTGGAAGCCCTCACACGCTGGGTAGGCCACATCCCAGCAGATGTCCAGCAGAACATGGAGAGCATTGCGCCAATGCTGCGCAGGCTGGGATACAACCCCAATGCCAATCCACCAGATTATGGTCAACCAGATCCGGAAGTGATCAACAATACTCAACGGGTATATTCGAACACAGAACACAGTGCAGCTCAAAGATCAGAGTTGCTATTATTCAGTCTTAATTTTCATTTGTCTGTCTTTCCTAGGTACTGCGAGGAGATTTTAAAACTCCCACGAGCCTGAAAAGATGGGCACAAGTGAGTGCATGCTTTTAAGTTGTATCATATACAAAACCGGTTGTACACAATCTACTACATGCCTTCTGTCATCAAAAGTTTATATTTGTTTAGCAAGTAAAAGGCCTTTTCTAAAAACCTCCCCCAACTGCACCAAATTGCATATTTTTGCTCAGTTTGGGCCGCTGAATAAAAAAGAGGTGTTTCTTCTTTCTCAAGTATGAGCTCCATGTTCTTCTATATCATACTATATGAGCCATAAAAGCCTGATGTATCGAATATGATACTCAACAAAAAGTGAATATGCATATATATATATATATATATATATATACTTTGAGTGATTTCTGGTTGTTGTCATTGCAAAAATGGCAGAAGTTGGTTTAAGAAATATTTATTTATGTATGCCACTTGATTTGGTGTTTTGTTATCTAATTAAATGACATTATATGTCCCAATACTTTCTGTGGGCACTGTGTAAGTCTATATACTATGATTAGGCTGCATATATGTCCTTACACATATTCATTTTGAAAATATTAATTGTTTGACAGGTATCTCCAAAGTCAGTTTCTAAAGGAGGCCGAAACTGAAGAGAGTCCTACATTGATTGCAGTATGTGCTTGTGTTCAGCCTTGGATAATTCACCACCATTTTGTGCCATGAAGGCCTTTCACAAGATACAGAGCAACCGGAGTAGGAAATAATGAGCATCGTTATTATGCAATAGCTGTGGTTACATGGGGTCTGATTTTGACATAGCCAGAATCTATTATAATAATTAGGCAACTAAATCCTATTATGTACCAAAATGTTGTAATGTAATAGATTGATGTCAAAGAAACAAGCCTCAGACGGACACTGGACAGAGATCGACATTTTTACTACTGATGCTCTCAGAAGAGTATTGTTTACTTTGTTTATCGAACAAAGTTTACCATAAATCAATTACACTTTACTTCCTGAACATTGCAGTTTTTTATGTCTTGTTTTGGGAAATGAGAGCGTGACGTAGCGCTCAGTGTCGCACTGAATGCTGTTGCTATGTGCCTGCGTGCATTTTCTTGACCTAGATATTAAATTGAGGCATTCTTGTTTTCCTAGTGCCAAAACGCCCTGTTTACCCTCGGTTTTTTTTTTTTTCAAAAGTGAATTCTTTCAATAAAAATATTCATACAAATTCGGCCGGTGTGTTATTTTCAATCCTTGTGGTGTATTTGTTTTTATCTCGAAACATTTAATCAGAGCCAAACCTGTGCAGTGCATCATATCACTCCGCCTGTCCCCAAACCCCCACGAACACATAAAATAAACATAAATATCTGTTTTACGTCCACAAAACTAATTTATAAAATGCGCATTTGTATATCTTCAACATAACACATATGCTGGTGCTTACCACAAAACCAGGTTTTCAAATTGAATGTCTGCAGTTGTTTAAATAGTGCGTTGGGCGTAGCGGCGGAAGGATACAGCGCGTTCTGTATAAATAGCCGGAGCTTTTGTTTTGAGCCCTTAGATTCGCTCCCGTGACGAGAAGAAAGAGACTCACGCATTCCGCACTCTTCCAGAAAAGAACATTTGTTTGTAAGTATGAAGTAAAATATACACAAACGACGCCAGTTATGTCGCTACTTAAAAACAACACTATTTTATTTGGATTGAAGCGTTTGTTGAATTATATAAACGTGTATCTTTGAATGGGCTAACTCGTTAGCTTTTAATGCTAGCAGGCCTGGTCGTTTCTGTGGACTAAATTTGTCCGTTTTGTAGCTTAATGTGGCTGAATATTAAAATACTAAACATCGGTGTGTTTTCTGTATGTTTCGTGCGCGTTAGGTAATTCTGGCGGCCAATTATGTTATACCGCGAAACAGTGCGGTGAGGTCGGTGAATCTCAATTCATCTGCGTATTATCTTTCAATGATCTCTGTCAGCAGTAGACACGTCGTTAAACATTTACCTGCTCGTAATATAACTCATTAATTGTCATATCTCTGTGGTTATTAACGTTTTGTTCCGTTGTTATTGTTTCTGGCCATTTTCTGAGGTAAAACGTCGCCATTTTGTTTTCAATCGCCCATTTGTTACGCCCTGCCTCACGGCTGTGTCGGCATTAGTGATGGCGTTTGCTGTTATACCTCCTTTTGTTTCGCTTTCTTTAGAAGAAATTTATAGAAAATTCTTAGGCTTGTCTAACAATACTAAATTAACCTGTATTCGTTGTTCGGTTTTCACCAATGCAGCACATACTTTGAAGTTAATCAATTTGAATATCTTTTGTTTTTAGCGTAAAGATGCAGATCTTTGTGAAGACGCTGACTGGCAAGACCATCACCCTTGAGGTTGAGCCCAGCGACACCATTGAGAATGTGAAAGCTAAAATCCAAGACAAGGAAGGCATTCCTCCTGATCAGCAGCGTCTGATCTTCGCTGGCAAGCAGCTGGAAGATGGACGCACCCTGTCCGACTACAACATCCAGAAGGAGTCCACTCTCCACCTGGTGCTCCGCCTTAGGGGAGGCATGCAGATCTTCGTCAAGACGCTGACTGGCAAGACCATCACCCTCGAGGTTGAGCCCAGCGACTGCTGACTGGCAAGACCATCCCCCTCGAGGTTGAGCCCAGCGACACCATTGAGAACGTCAAGGCCAAGATCCAGGACAAGGAAGGCATTCCTCCTGACCAGCAGCGTCTGATCTTCGCTGGTAAGCAGCTGGAAGATGGACGCACCCTCTCTGACTACAACATCCAGAAGGAGTCCACCCTCCATCTCGTCCTGCGTCTTCGTGGCGGCAATTAATCTGCTCATGTTTAATATATAAGTCTTGACAGTTATCAGACCAATTCCAATTTCCTTTGTTCCTCTTAATCATTGAATAAAGTTCTGGCATTCCTGACTATCGTTTCCTGCCTCATCTCTGAAATCATTCACAAAATGGTCACTTTAACATGTCTTTTTAAAAGTTCAAATGTTTACGTTTTGAGGGGCTTTTAAAATATTGGTTTCTGTATACAAGTCATTTAATGGTTTGAGTCTAATTTGTGAACTCAAAGTTGAATTTTCTCATGTTTTGTTTAATTTGGTAGTTGTATTTCAATAAGTTTGGTTGAGTGGAAATGTTAACATTAAAATGAATAGTCGACGTAATGCTAAACTTGTGTAGTGTAGAGACCATATTTAGTCAAAAAATGCTAGTAAACTTTGCAAACAATTGCAAAAGCAGTAACATTTATACGTGAAATTAAAGTAGAAAAATTTAAATATTTTAAACTACTTTACAGCTGGAAAATAATCCAGACTATCACAACGTCTCGATTACTGCATTGTCGTTTCTGTTTACAAAAGCACAGACAAAGCATCTGATATCAGTGCAGGAATCAGTCCAGCTGGGTCTAACAAAAATACCTATCTGGTTTTCTGAAAACATCGCTGCACGAAATGATAAACAAGCCAAGAGCTAAAAAACCCATACCTATATAAAGCTGTTGATGTTGGCCTATTAAATGAGAAATATGAGAGTTCAACATAGTTACTGAAGAACTGCTAGAGGCGCTGTGAATACTTTTTGTGATGTTTAAAATGTGAGATTCATCTGGTTTTAACCTGCTGTGCTGACATTAATAAGCCTTTTAATTAAAACTTTGAAATGGACCTGCCTAATGAGTATATATCACTGGACAGTGTGACTGGAATTAAATTGTTTCTAAATTTAACACGGTCAGCATATAAGGTTAGTTGAATAGTTTCTGCTGCGTCACAGTGTATATATATGAGTTATCAGTGGCAAATACTTATCCAATAAAGATACAATAACACTTCTTCCAGCAGCTCTGTTTGATCATGCCGCTTTAACATAATATGCCATGTTTTAATGACAGTTTAACGGTACAAAAATAAATGCTTTTTGCAAGCTTTTGCTTTGGAACTTATATTTTATTTTGGACATCGAATTGTACCAAACTTTTTATTCATATAAAAGAAAATCTAATTACTTATTCAAATGACAAATTACTGTATTAACAGCATAAACACAACATATGCACATTTATTAACATGAACAGGATGATGTTCTAAATGCATAAACAACAGAAAATTAAATACGGATTAATTTGAATACAGTTTTTCGATGCACAGCATTTGACATCAACAACCATATGAATGTGAGGCCTTTTCATTTCCCTTTTAGCTGATAAATCTGTTTATTGTGCTGTTCTATAGTTGCATTTATATTATTTGCATTTATATTTTTTCTGCTGCCATGCATTTTTTTATCTATCTATCTATCTATCTATCTATCAGGAGTCCAAATACGTTTGGGGCCACTGTATGCATGTACATATTGTGTGCTTCTTGTAAACATTACTTTTAAATGCTAGTCTCTTATCCTTCATGGTGGGAGGCGTGTGTTACTACATTACCCAGAAGCCTCTGGGTTATAGGTGGCGCTATGAGTGCCGTAAACATGGTAATCAAACAGCAAGAGCGCTATAAAACCTGCAGGATCAGAGAGCCGGACTTGAACATCACTCACAGCTGTAATGTACACGATCATAAAGTCAGCAGAGCATTAATAAGTCAATGGCCAGAGTTGTATGGCTTTATCTTGTAGAACTGAGAGTTTGTTCAGCCGTCACGCTTTGAGTTCCCTGCGCTTTCCAGAAGAAATCACTTTATTGTTCTCAAAGCTCTGCGTGTGTTTGTGAAGTGAACTGTGTGGGAAATACGGATGGCGGTGTCTAAATCTACATTATCGATCGTTTTTATAGTTCTGGGAGGTTTGGCGGTTTTATTCGGGATTGTGCTGGTGTTTGTCGGACCTATTATAATAGACGATCAAATAGTGAAGGTAAGTCATACATCTGACAGGTGCAAGAGACGCACTAATTAAACATATTTGCATATTTAAATAACATAAAGTTACAAAAACACATGATTCAGTGTCGATAAGCCTCGAACTGAGCTTGATATGACTTTCTATAGTAGCCTGTTGCGTTTAAAAAACATAAATAGGAACGACCATTAAGTAATTAAATCATATAAACTTTATTATATTGATAATAGACTACAAGTTTAGATAGTTGTGGTAGTCGTAGTTTGTGCGTAATCAACCATCAAAATTATAAAAATTCCTTTACTGTGAATTGTTTTATTTTTAATTTATGTGTTGTTTTGAATTTTTAAATAATGTATTGTATGTAATGATGCTGAAAATTCAGCTTTGCATCACAGGAATAAATTACATTTTAAAAATCTATTAACCTAGAAAACGGTTCTTTTAAATTCTAATAATATTTATGCAATATTACTGCTTTTACTGTAACTTGATTAAATAAATGCAGTCTTGGTGAACATTTCAAAAACATTTCAGAAGACTTGAACTGAGATCTAAATTCAAGACTAAAAAAATACTTTTTTTTTGTGGTCTGACATACTTTTTAAAAATACAAATATTCCATGTTGTCCCTCAAAAAGCCATAAATCTGCATTTAATAATTAAATATAAAGATGAGGTTTTAAGTTAAGCTGTTTTAAATACAGCATACCACATTTGGCCACTAACCACATGGACATCATATCTTTACAGAATGTAGAGATTAACCCAAACAATGGACTCTCCTACACTATGTGGAAGGACATCCCGGTTCCCTTCTTTATGTCTGTATATTTCTTTCATATTGTCAATCCTGATGAAATCCTAAAAGGAGAAAAGCCCACAGTGGTACAGAGGGGGCCGTATGTGTACCGGTAAGAATTGTGTTCCCTCTTTCTGTAAAACTACTTTAAACCAGTTAAAATGTATTTTGAAATGTTCAGTATGAATCACTTGATCGGACGTGACTGGGCATACAGTATAATGTCTGTGGATGTTCAGCCCTGTGACACTGAAGTTCATGGTAGGTTAGCCTGCGGGCCCCGGACAGGTTTGCATGTGCATTCGGTCAGTTGTCCAAACAGGACCATCATACAGTCTGTTTTTTTCTTTCCTTTAGGATATAAATTGTCCATCCTGGAGTGATTTGTAGAGATATAACTTTAAACAATACTAACTTGGGGGTTAGTTTGCACTGGTCAGTATGAATCTAAAAGCATTCCTCTTGTCCATATAACCTGCCCTAACATGATGTAATGTAACGTAAGGGCCTCTTTCTTGGACTGAAGTGACCTTACGTACAAAGAGGTTTGTCTGCAGTATGCTCTGGATCTGGGTCTGTCTAGTGGCCTTATCCTTACCTGAAGGGCTGAAAAAATTATATGTAAAAAAAATGCATATAAAAATATTTTTCTTGACAAAGATCAAGGAATAGACAAACTAAATCTTATTTTTCATTTGAACAAGGATATGCATTTGTGTTGGGATTTTTACATTTACAAGACACTGTTGCAGTATTTTCCACAGCCGTGACTTCTACGAGCCAGGACGCAATAATTTTTTAGTGTGGATTCACTTATTGTTATCCTTTTTCTATTTTTATTTTATTTTCTTTATCTCTAATCTGAATCTGTGCAGTTTTTATTAAAGAGGAACTGTGATCCTACCCTCGAGCCGTGCATACTAGAGTTTGACTGAGTAAAAACAGACACAGTGCTGGAACTGAATGAGAATGAGGAAGCTCCATACTATCCAGGATTAAAATAATAAGATTTATCATAAGATCATTTTGGAAACCCAAATTTTCAGCACAACATAATTTTTATTTAATACATTTTTTTATGTTTTGTTTTATTTTTTGCACAACATATTGTATTTTTCTAATATTTTGTTTTATAAATCTCAGTAGTGCTTTTTAACTTAAAGAATTTCGAATTAAAATATGAAGATTTCTCCCAAGATCATTTTGAAAACCCAAATTTATTAGCACAACATATTTTTTGTTTTATTTTAAGTAGCACAGCATATTTTATTTTATATCAGTAGTGCCTTTCAACTTATACAAATTAAGAATTCAATGAATTAACAAATTCCTCATAAGATCATTTTGAAAACCCACATTTATTAGCACAACATATTTTATTTAATTATTTTATTTGCTATGCTTCATTTTATTTTATTTTATAAATATCAGTAGTGCCTTTTAACTTCTTAGAATGCAGAATTAAAATAAGAAAATCCCTCATAAGATCATTTTAATAAATCCAAATTCATTAGCACAACATTTTTTTTATTTTTTTATGTTGCACAACATTTTATTTTATATAATGTTATTTTATAAATATCATTCGACTTTTAACTTATACGAAATCAGAAGTAAAATAGGAAGATTCCTCATAAGATCATTTTGTAAATGCAAATTTATTAGCTCAACATATATTTTATTTTATTTGATGTTGCATAGCATATTTAATATATTTATTTATATCAAATTTGAGTCTATAAATATAAGTAGTGCCTTTTTATCTTTTAAGATTTCTTATAAGATCCCAAATTAATTAGCGCAACATTTTTATTTTATTTCATTTTTGAACAACATATTATTTCATTTCCATATCAGTCGTGTCTTTTAATGTCTAAGTTGTATTTAATGTATATAGTATACGTCTGTTGGCATGTTGTTTGGAGAGTAGTTGTTTTAGACCGGATCATTTTGTGGTTTTATCATTGGTTGTTTTATGTGCATTCCTTTCTTCCATCATGACTGAGTGGCTTCTTTTTTTTTTTTTTGACGAGGCACATGACAAATGTTTGTGGTAGTGACTTACCTTTGAACAAATCATGCGCTTGCATTTTGCAATCCGAGCGGGGGGCCGCGAGTCTTTTTGTGTGACTTTCTAACATGCTGACCGAGAACCTCAAAGTGGTTCCTCAAAAAGCTGAATTTTGCCGTGTTAGGATAATATTGCTGCAAATCAGCTGGCTAAGTCACATTTCTCTGTTGTCGCGACTCATATCTGTTTCAG